GGGGGAAACCTGTGCACCCAGCTTTGCTAGTTTTACAGTCACATCGGAGTAGGCATGGATTATGTACCCCGAGCCTTCCACTAAACAGAATTTCGCTCGCTAGCTCACAGGGGATGGTAACCAAGGGCTGTTTAGTTCAGCCTGGATTGCTCCCCAGCCCTCAGCTGGGGTCACGCTGAAAAACAACCACCATTTTATCCCCGGCGTGTAGCACATCTCATGTTTTATCATTTGGAGAGAGTAATTGAAAATGAATAAAATTCCAGGGAACAATGGGTGCATTGCTCGGCAGATGCCACAGCAGAGTCAGCACTTGTTTGCAGCCTGGCCTGGTCACAGGGCCGGGGCAAAATGACTCTGTGCACTTTGGGGAAGCTGTGGACACGTTCCCCTTGGACACTTTCCCCCTCACTCAACTGATTTTACAGTATAAGTAATTGGAAGGTGCTTTTCAGAAAAACTAGTGTGATCTCATTTTTCCTTTTACCAACTTCAAAGGGGTCTCTCTTGCTGGAGTGCTCTAAGTTAGAGATGCAGGTCACCGGGTAGAGTAGTAAGGATGGAAATTGGGAGAGCGTCTGATGCAGCAGTCTTCAAAAAACCCAAACTCACTGTCATTGAGTCAATCCTACCTCCTAGGGTAGAACTGCCCGTGTGGTTTTCCAAGACGAAATTTTTACAGAACTAGAAAGCTTCATTAGTTTCCTCTGGCGTGGCTGGTGGTTTTGAACTGCCAACCTGGCGGTCAGCAGCCCAATGCATACACTGCACTATGCCAGCAGCACTTCCTTGTGATAAGTCCTGCCAGATTGTCTTTCAAAATGATTTACTGTAACAAGTTGTACTCGCTACTGACGCACTCCAATAAAATGCCTTCATTACTGCGAGAGCACAGCATATAAACAAAAGACTGTGACTTATTTGATATTTTCATTTTGACACTCTGCCTAAGGTCTTCGTTCTGAATGTGTGGATGGAGGAGAAAAAGCCAACGGACTCCGCAGCAGATAAGGATCTGGCGCCCTGAGTCATTTCAGCCTGCACGGTGCCTGCTTGGACATTTGAACACAACACTCATGCACAAACATCTCCCAGGTGCCTTTCCTCTTGTGTGTCTTGAGCTTTTCTGAAAGATCGCCCTGCTGAGGTTCTCTAGCAAAGTCCATGCACAGCACTGCCGTCAGCTCCCTTCTGACCTGGTATGGGACCCGCCAGTGCAATTTGCTTTGGAATCTAGCAGCAATCCAACCTGAGCAAGAAGAAAGGTCTCTGTGGCTGATATTGGAGGATTTTGTTTAATTTGTGCATTCTTTACCTAAAAGAAGTTCGTTGTACACCTAGGACCAGCACTGACT